GTGTGTGTGTGTGTGTGTATTAGTGTGTTTCTGGTGTGTGTATCTTACAGTTGTGTAGTTCCTCCTCTCTTCACTGTTGTTTTGAGGTCTTTATTTTCTACAGAAGAAAAACAAACAGTCACTTCCTCTCCGTTCTGTTGGTTCTCCAACGTTCTACCGCTCCGTCTCTCTGATCTCTTTGATGTTCTCACCTTGTAACCACCTGACCTGGGTGGCCGGTCCATAGCCCTTCTGGTTGCGAGCAGCGATGCGGAAGATGACTGCTGGCTTGGTGGTGTAGTCGATGTGTGCGTTGGCGAGGCTGGAGGCCTGGACCAGGCAGGACGGGCTGGTACCACAGTACACCCTCATGAAGGCCAGCTGGGCGGGGCCTGAAACCGAGGAGGCGGCCTGGCTGGACTGGATTGCGAGGTACACCGAGTACTCCACGATCTTGCCCCACGTGACAGCCGGAGGCTCCCAGGTGAGCTGAGCTCCGTCCAGGTTCTGAGAGATCAGATCTACACGTCAACACTGAGTCATAGAAACACACTGCCTGAGCTAAATTTCCCATGAGTCCTCACTGCACTGAGGCTCACGCCACACAAACAGGAAATACCTTGCTGATCTTGATGGCACATGGCGCTCCGGGGAAACCAGGCAGACATGTTTTAAACGCCGACACCTCAGAGAACGCTCCACGGCCGCAGATGTTGATCCCAGCAACACGAAACTTATAAGCTGTCCCCGGCTGCAGCTCCACCTTCCTCATCTGACTGTAGTCAGGTACCACACCTGAGTCGTCCTGCAGGTACACAGGTCATCGATAACCTCATAAATCACCTGATCAATCACCATCAATAATGTGACAGACTCATTTCACAAAGTTAATGCATGTAGCAACAACGAGGAAGGATTTACAAAGGAGCTTTTAATTTGAAGAGGTAGCAATAGTCAGTTTTATGATTTTAGTGTGAAGATCTTACCTCGGCCATGTTGTCTTCGTCTGGGATGTAGAAGTGAGAGACCACCATGTTTGTAACCTTGACGACGCCAACGTCGTACCATCGACTGTTCCTTACCGAAGACTTCACCTCAACACTCTGCTGCTGCACACAACACACACACAGCGTTGTTAGCATGGTTTCAGTTTGTTCAAGTGTGTGGCCTGGTTTAGGTGTAATGTTAGCATGTAGCATGTGGTAAGTGTGATGCAGCTGTTAGCGGTTTGTGAGTGTGTTGCTGCCTCCCCCTGGCAACCTGCAGCACGACGTCTTACCCCTGTGGTCGCTGTAATCTCACTGGTCGCCTCAGTCCCTGTGGCAACAGCTTGAATCTTTGCCAGACCTGACGTCGGAGGAGGGGTGGGGCTGAACGTGCTGGCCAATCTAGCGACGGCACTGGTAACTGCCAATGAGGTCATCTCATGTGCGTTGCTGTCTGCTGCCGGGTCATTGAGGCTGTCTGCTGGGGCAAGGCCCTCTGGGAAACAAAACGCAGAAAACTCTTTTGAACACAGCGTTATGACGTAATCACACCGTGTCATGTGATTCCATCACAACCTTGTACCTGTGGGCAGGCTGCTGTGCTGTGGTTCTGGGTGGTCGTGGATGTCCTGTAGTTGCTGTTGTTGTTGGACCAGAGCTGCCAGTTCCTGCTGGGTCAGAATGATGGGGACGGATTGATCCATGGAGTCCTCAGCTCCACCTGCAGAGACATGAAGACACACATTCCCTCTGTCAGACCATCTGTCATGGAACAATTCAGTGTCCCAGTGAGGACAAAGAGTCTGATGAGACAAAAACTGAACATCTGGGTAGAACTCTGTCTTCAAGACCAGCCTGTCTGTCTGTCTGTCTGTCCCTCAGTGTCCCAGAACTAACCCCTATGTGAGTGTGTGTTTACGTGTGTGTGTGTGTGTTACCTATGTGTCCTGCTGCCTGCAGTACTGCCTGTATTGTGGCCTGCTGAGCAGTCAGCTGATCTGGGGTTAGTCCTGTCGCCAACATCAAGGTTGTCGTCCCAGGGACCGCCTCACCTCCGTCCCCTTCTGATGACATCAGCTCCTGAGGAAGATCTGTGGTCGCCACCTAAGGG